ATATATATATATATAATGGATCTCAAAAAATGTGTGTGAACACATAACACCAATGCAAAAGTCATCTCTCTAAATACAAGCACAATTGAGGGGCTATTTCTCTCTCTCTCTATGTTTATGTATCTCTATCTTATCGTGCACAAGTGAGGTTTATCTCTCTCTTTTCTCTCTTTCTCTCACTATAAATATTGTAATATTATCTATGTAGAGGGATTAGTTAAGGAAAAAGTTTATATAGAGCCAAGGCTCTAAACAATCAAATTGAAACCTATCTAAAACATTTCATTAAAAGAAGTTGTTTTGATACTCAAATATCCTCAAATTGATCATCTCAACATCAAGATGCATGGACATGAGAAAAATATAGATTTCAAGTTTTGAAAATAGTGTATTTGGTAACGCATTTTTGGACCATCAATTTTCAAGTTTTCATATATCGTCGATCTACACTATTTTTGAAGCTTTAAACCTCATAAATAAAGATACAAATATATGTTAAAGCTATCACAAAAGTTTCCAGGCCATATTTGTCAACAATATTTGAAAATAAGCTCTAATTTGATTGTTTAGAACCTAGGCTCTATACAAATCGCACCCATTGGTTGATCGTGCAACGTTTATCCAGGAAATCAAATGAAATAGGTGGGCGGCCCGAGTGGGCCCATGACAACGAGACAGGTCGGCAGCTTAAACCCCTCCTCGTCCTGTATTGGCCCTCCTACTAAGCCCCCTCATATATACTGAGTCCCTCTACTCCCACCACTCTACCATATCTCACAAGTTTCTCTCTCTAGAATATCACACCAACTTCTCTTTCTCTCTCTCTCTAACACACCACACCTCTCTCTCTCTCCATTCATATCACACCAGTCTTTTCTCTATCCCTATATCACATTGGTTTCTCTCTCTAATATATCAGACCACACTCGAACCACTATTCTCTCTCTCTAACCAACCAACTATTCATTTTCTCTGATCGCCGGAAAATATGTCGAGTGAGACTGAAGTGAGAGAGCAGCCACCAGAAACCGTGGCCGCAAAAGACTACACTGAACCTCCTCCAGCACCTTTGATAGACATTGAGGAGCTTGGGAAGTGGTCTTTGTATAGGGCTCTGATAGCAGAGTTTGTAGCAACGCTGCTCTTCCTGTATGTGACTGTGGCGACGGGTATCGGATACATGAGGGTGTCGGAAGACGACAAGTGCGCTGGGGTCGGGACACTCGGTATCGCATGGGCCTTCGGGGGGATGATCTTTATCCTTGTTTACTGCACTGCTGGGATATCAGGTGAATTTGATTTCTTTTTTAGATTTTTTGTATAAGTAGCTCGCAACAATTCACACTCATTAGATATTAAATTGGATGGCTTGAAATGAATCACAATATTGGATTTTTTTTTTTTGATACTTCGTATCTACCACACTCTTACAGCTACCCATTTTCAAATCTAAAAAGCAAAAATGATTATAACCTCATTGTCCAAAAGATAAATGGTCCATTTATAAACTATTCATATTTTTTTGTTTTTGAAGAAATTTAATGGAGACTATTTTCACCATTTTATTACCGTTTGGTTAACGACAAGCACCCCCTCGGCTGCCTTTTTATTTCTTTGTAATGGCAGACCTGGCAATGTCAATACGGAATAAGAGGGAGAGGAGCAAGAAGAAACCGAGAAAAGAGATAAATAAGTATTTAATCTCTCAAAAGTATACTATTTATTTACTTCCCTGGATAAAATTCTTAAACTTTAGAACATAATCACTACAATCCATAGAATAATCTCAGCATAAAAAAAGTATTGAAATAAAATCTCAATGTGCTAAAAAAAATAATGCCTCAAAATTGAATATAAACGGTCCAATTTTTAAAGGATAAATATAAGTGTCACAAAACTCTAAAATATATTTTTATTTCAAAAATTAATAATTGACTAATTATCTCACCTTTAAAAAATTAGACAGTTTCTATTCAATTTTGAGATGTTAATTTTTTAGAGTGCGTAAAAATTCTAATGTAATTTTTTTATGGTTGCAGTTTGTAGAGAGCCTAGGCTCTAAACAATCAAATTAGAGCCTATCTTCAAATAGTATCGAGAAATGTGGTTTCAATGTTGAAAATCTTCATGATAACCTTAAAATATATTTTCATATTTATTTATAAAGTTTAAAGCTTCAAAAATAGTGTAGATCAACACATCTATGAAAAGTTGAAAATCTTGAAAATTGACCGTCCAAAAATGTGTTACAAAATACACTATTCTAAAACTTGAAATCCATTTTTTTCTTACGTCTATGCATCTGGATGTCGAGATGGTCAATTTAAAGATATTTGGGCATCAAAACAACGTCTTCTAGTGAAATTTTTGAGATAAACTTAAATTTGATTGTTTAGAGCCTCAGCACTATATAAACTTTTCGCTTTTTCTATTATTGAAGTACATTTAAATTGGATTTTACCCCCAAGGAATAAATGAAGAGTATATTCCCTCTCTCTTTCTTTCTGATGCGTAAAGATTTCTGGCCGTCGAAGTGGTGGCTAGACAAATCAAGAACAATCATACACTTGATTATTATGTTCGGTTGAAACTTCTCTAGTATTTTATTTGATTAGGTTAAGGTTCATCAACCCACCACTAAAAGTCTCCTTTTGATGACAATAGATAACACCTAGGCAATAGATAACACATTGTTTGGTTCTCTTATCCCATCGCAAACATTATATCCCGATGATTTAAAAAACGTGTGGTCGGCACAAAATCACCGGGTTCGATCCGGGAATCGGTCATTCTGTTCCAGTTTTACATTTATATAGGAAAATTGATGATTTTATAAGGGAATTGGCGGTTTCGCACAATAAAATGGTGATCCTCTACAATAAAATGATGATCTATATTTCGACCTGGACCGGTTTTTGGCAAGTTCACTTTTTTTTCACGTGTTTTTTTGCCGGTTCACTATTTTTTCTGTACCGTAAATTTGGCGATTTAGACTGCAGGTTCACCGATCCAGACTAATTTTTGGGTGCTCGATCCCGATCACCAATCCGTTTTTTTAATCACTGGGATAACCCAATACATGGTTATATGTTTTATTCTTCTCTACATTGTTACTTCTTCGGTATAGACAGTGATAAAAAAATAAAAATAAAAAAGAAGGAAGGAAGGTTGGACTCGGGTAAGACTACCTAGGGTCCGATTTTGATTCTGCTCCAGGTCCACTCGGGCTAGTTTGAGTTGGACGAGAGAAATTTCAACAAGAATAAAAAAAAATTTACAAAAAATAAGGAGACAGGTGATTATGAGGGTTTTCGGCTTGGAGTCGCTTGCCTACTGAAACGTTCAGACATGTTTGAACAAGCATTTTTTTAAATACTAGCGAAAATTTTTTATTTATGAGGGTATGATCCTTAATAGAGCAAAATGACATATCGGAATTTATGCAGTCGACCCTAATTACTTGAGAAAAGACACTTTCCACTAATTGTGTTTTTTGTGGTAGGTGGTCACATTAACCCTGCAGTCACCTTCGGCCTCTTTCTCACTCGAAAAGTATCACTCATCAGAGCCATACTGTACATGGTGGCTCAGTGTCTAGGAGCCATGTGTGGAGTAGGATTGGTGAAGGGCTTTCAAAAGTCATTCTATGATAAATATGGCGGCGGCGCCAATGGGCTCGCAATCGGCTACAACACGGGCGTCGGCCTTGGTGCCGAGATCATAGGGACCTTCGTTCTTGTCTACACAGTTTTCTCTGCAACTGATCCCAAACGCAACGCTAGGGACTCTCATGTGCCGGTGAGTATTCAGTTCATGTGGTGGCCTCTCAAGGAGAGTTGTCTTGGAAAGAAAATGAGCATAATCGCTGGTTTTGGATCTGTGGTATATCGATGAATTGGTGATTTGGATTGGCACCGGAACAGATGATCTAAATAATATTAAAGAATAAATTAGATAAAATTAAAATTAATTAGGGTGTATGGGGTGGGGATTTAGATATGACTTAAAAAAATATTAATTAAAAAGGAAAAGGAAAAAACATATGTAAATAAAATTTTGGGGAGAACCCGTCGATAACTATATTATTCCAGAACTTATTTATTCCCAACTGATTTCCATCAACGATCTATATCTAAAGGAAAATGGTTTGATAGGGTTGCAGCCCCCCAAAATAACTAAAGCCTCACTTCATAACTCATCAAAAATTGTAATTCAAGTGTTGAAAATCCTTTAAATCGATCATCTCAGCTTAAACACTATGGCTGTGAAAAAAAATTGGGATTTCAAGTTCTAAAAATAGTGTATATTTCAACGAATCATCTAGACCATCCATTTCACCCTAAAAATAAGTGTTCAAAGGTCCACAAGATTCGTACTATTTTTTGAGTTGCAAATTTTCTTTTCGGTGTTGGAAATCGATTTTAGAGTCATAATGAAGATTTTTGCTGTTGAAAGTGCTTTTCGGATGAGGATTTGAAGTGATGTTTTATTTTGTTTTCATAAAGCCTAGGCACTACATAAACTTCATCCACATATAAAAGGATGAACTTTCTATAAGGCACAAATTCGAGATTTCTTTCCACGATGCGCAGGTTCAATTCAGGTCTTTTGCCCATTAGCCATGTCATTATGTCTTTGATATTGGTCGTTGCTAATCCCAGAAATGGGCGCTCGGGATATGAAAATCCTTGAGAAGCAACTGGACTTATTGTATGTGTCAATTATCATTGAGGTAATGAGCTCGAGGATATTGATGTTCACGCTAAACTTTCATAAAAGTTTAGGGTTTTTTTAGGCCGGACCTAAGTCTAGGCATGGCAGGCCTAAGTTAGTCTTTTTTTTCTTTATTATATTTCTATTTTAAATTTAATGACGTCTGGCCCTTTTGCCCTAGGCCCGATTCAAACCGAACCATCTATTTAGATTTTATGGCCTCAACCAAGCCCGGCCATTGGTGGGACTCTTGCGACGCGACCCCACCCAGGCCAAGCCATGGTCGGGCCTTTGGTGACCCAGAACAGGCCACACCCGGCCCAACCTGTTGCCGACAATACAAAAGTTTATTGTGCTTTTGCTTTGAAAAGCCGTCGGGATGAAAGGAAGAAGATTCTCTTGTGTTTTTCTTTCATTTAATTCCCTTTGAATTACCCAAAAAAAACCGGGTAGGTCTACTGAATTACTCAAATAAAAAAAAATCCCTTTGAATGAATTAATCAATGTCATCTATATATATAAAATTAGATACATTTAATAAAGTTTTTGCTTTCACTTGGAACAATATTAGGGTAGTATTCTCATCAACTTTTTCAGTACTGAAGATGTGAAATTGAGTAATAATGTGATAAATTTATATTGAATTAGTTACCTAACTTTTATGGAAATATAAAACCAGGTCCAATAATGCTTGTACGACTGTAATTTATTTAATATTTTGGATATTATTAGATAAAGTTTTTTATTAATTTGTTACTTTGGCTGAAAATTCTAGGTACTTGCCCCCCTTCCAATAGGATTCGCAGTATTTATGGTCCATCTTGCTACAATCCCCATTACAGGCACAGGCATCAACCCTGCAAGAAGCCTAGGAGCTGCTGTCATTTATAACAAAGACAAGGCTTGGGATGACCAAGTAACCCCCTCCTTTTTTCTTTTCTTTTCCTTTTTTTTTTTTTTTTTTTTGTGTTTCCTTTTTTTTTTTTTTTTCTTTCACCTCTCCTCTCTCGTAGGTATTAAAAAAAAAAAGAAAAGAAATTATCTTAGATACAAATAAGTCATAGTTGTCATGATATTTAAAATTGGACGGTTGGGGATGTGCCATTAGTCAAGGTCAAAGTTTAAAAGAAAATTTTTATTTTTCGTAATTTATCAAAAGCTTTAAAATTTGACATCTGAGAGTTTATAGTGATTATGATCTCTTTATTTCAAAAGAAAATAGTCTTATAATATACAATCCCTAACCATAGACATAGCCTCTCACATACACACGTGCACCTACATAATGGGGACGATGTGTTATTACCGTTTTTTATAAAAAGGTCACAAATATGAGGAATGGGGTTGAGGTCAAGGTGGTAGCTCCACTTGTGATTCAGCTACCGGTCTTTGGTTTCAATTCTTACCAATGGTAACCCTTTCGAAAAACTACTAATGGTTTTAAAAAAATTCTTACCAATGGTAACCCTTTCGAAAAACTACTAATGGTTTTAAAAAAATTGCTAACTCACTACTAATAGTTAGCATTAAAAAAAAGAAAAAAAAAATGAAATAAAAAGAAAAGGAAGTCACAAATATGAGAAGGTGTTATAAATAAATTTTCTTTGCTCGGATGGGTCATTCTCCTCACAAAGTCCATAAATATTTCTAGGGCCTTAAGCATGGCTAGTGATAGACCCCTAGTCACCCTAGTCACCCTGACATCACATCCAATGCTAGAGTTAATTTCATAGTTATCGTATACCATCCAAGTACATAAACACAAAAAAGGAATTGTTTATAAACAAACCATTTATCTTTTCTGTCACAATTATTCTTTTATGTCACAATTGTTTATAAACAAACCAATATCTTTTCTGTCACAATTAAATTCGAAAGCGAGTAGTTGTAAGAGTTTCATTGAATAGACACAAAGTTTCAAAAAAATAATTCTCGGACTTCGTGATTCATCTCAAGCTATCTAATTTAACTTCTAATGAGTGATAATGATTATAACCTCTGTGTAGAAAAGATAAATGGTCTCTTTATAGATAATTCCGACAAAAAATGCCTACCTAGATGCAACCTATAGTTGGTTTTTTTTTTTTTAATGTTAAAACATCCAACCCCTAACCACTGATGCCCGGACCCTAGAGGTATTTTAGTATTTCTGTCTTTTTCATATAGCTCTTTGTATAAATAACTTCCAACTGCTGCATGCACACATACTTACATGCCCAAATGTGCCTGCACACACATACATGCATATTGTAAATGGACATCAATATTTCTGACTCTTATACGATTTGGTGCTTTGTGAGATTAAACGTACGCATATACAATCTTCTTAAAATGTTTGTAGGTGCGCACACACATGGATTTAGAGATGCATGTGTACAGTAGTGTTTGAAACTATGAGCTCATACTAGGGCTTGCCAATATCTAAGCCCAACTCACCAAGTCCTACTTGGGCAAGTTCCAAGTCGGATTTTTAATTGAAGAAATTTAGGGTTTGAGAGGGGCTCAGAGCCAGTCCCGGCTCTGGGCTCGCCAAAGCGCAAACCCAAGCCCCATATTGAGTCTCCGACTTTTGTAGACACTAATATAGATACAAACATATATACATAACTGTATTCTCTTTCCAAAGTCTTATGTCTTCATAATTTTGAGGGTTTCATTTTATGTCACAGTGGATCTTTTGGGTGGGGCCATTTATTGGTGCTGCCATTGCTGCAGCATACTACCAATATGTCCTAAGAGCATCCGCTATCAAGGCCCTAGGCTCTTTTAAGAGCACCACAAATGCCTAGAAGATGCAAGAAAGAAACCCCAACCCTTAATTGAGGGATCATGTACGAGGGGCTTTTTTCTCAGTCTTTGTCATCTCATTGGAGTGGACATAGGAATCCTTAAAAAGAGTGTGGCCATGTACCTTACTATGTGTATGTGTATGTGTGACTTTCTTACTTTTTATCATTGCATCTTTTGTTTTTCCTAAAGTCAAGGGCTTTGGATTCCATTCTATATTGTTTCTTTCTCTAAAATGTGTTAAGAATAGATGAGAATGGCTTCTCTGTTGTCTTTTATTTCTCATATGGATGAGGTATTGGTTTGTGGCTGTTCAAATGAGGCCATTTTGAAAAATGGGTGCGGTTTGCATAGAGACTAGGCTCTAAACAATCAAATTAGAGCCTACCTACAAATAGTGCCGAGACATGTGGTTTCAATCCTAAAATTTTTTTGATAGCTTTAAAATATATTTTCATCTTTATTTATAAAGTTTAAAGCTTCAAAAATAGTGTAGATTGACATCTCTATGAAAACTTGAAAATCTTGAAAATTGATGGTCCAAAAATGTGTTACAAAAATATATTATTTCCAAAACTTGAAATCCATTTTTTTCTCTTGTCCATGTATTTTGATATCGAGATGATCAATTTGAGGATATTTGGATATCAAAACAATCTCTTCTAGTGAAATTTGTGTGATAGGCTCTAATTTGATTGTTTAGAGCCTCAGCTCTATGTAAACTTTTTCCTTAAAAAATTCATCTTGATTTTTGGACCTAAAGTTTTAAGGTCGATAGCCTTCATCACCGCAATTATGAATCTGTAAATATGAATTTTGAATAAAAATTAAACTATTTTAAATCTTATTTTTAGACCGTTCATCACTGTTTATTTTAATTCTTTCAAGCTCATGAAATCTGCCATTTTTTTTGGGATGCAAAGTTTTATATCCAAGTAGACAGCATTATAGAGAGACGTAGGATGAGAATCCTAAAGCGTACGGTTTGTATGAGGAGCTCACTTTAAACAAACAAAGTAAAGAGCATTTTCAAATCTTATTGAAAAATGCAATTTTGGTTTGAAAAACTTTTCCGATAGCCTATAAATCCATTTTAACCTTAAATATGAAATTTAGAGCTCCAAACTGGTGTAGATCGATCACATATGTAGACACGTATTTATTATAGAGGGCAGTGATTTCATGCAACGGTTGTATCATATTATAATGCAACAATCTTCAAAAACCATTATAGGGCCATTTGTTTGATCCAACTTTTGAAATATACATTTTTTTTATTCTAACGAACAATCACAAAAAAGAAAATTTTGAAAATGGAACCTAAAAAAAGTAAAATGTTTTAACTTTGGGGCGATGTTTTACAGGCTTTTTACTTCAAAAAGTTTAAGTGTTTTAACTCCGGGGGCAAGCTTTCAGTACTTCCCCAATGTATAGTAGCAGTTAGATCTAAATGAATGACTGAGATGGATCCAATTACAATGTCACGCCTCTACACTATTTTATTTTTAATTTTTTTTACCTTACGTTTTGACACCAAATTTTAGGCATCCACTCCTCTCTAACTTGCAACTGCAAAAAAAAAAAAATCCCAATAAAATAAAATTCTCATGAAAGTTTTAAGGGTGTTTTGGTCATTTTATTTTATGAAAATATTTTGTTTATATTTTTTTTACCTGCGAACCATTGAGACGATGGTGCGTACAAAATTTCATATTGATAAATTTTTAGGATAAAAACTAAAAATACTCTTATTCATCAAATCTAGATCAAACGATTAATGGCTTCTTTGATCAATTGGATTGCTGGATGGGGGAAGTATATAACTTCTATACAATAGGAGAAGCGAAACCTTTGCCTTAACTTTATATCGTAAATGTAAGGTACATCTAAAATGTTAAGATATAGATATCTCGGATATCTCGAGTTCATATTAATATACATCATTATAGATGTATAAATATATATCTCTTAAGAGAAGGTATCTAGCAGATGAACGTCAAGTTAGTTCGGTGATCAGGCCTCCTACTATTTACCTATCTCCAATAATCATACCATATTTATCATGTAATTGTGTGATTGTCCTCTATATATATAGAGGTAATTATTGATGTAAACAATCATCCAAAATAATGAAGATGTAGCCAGTTGGGCTTTGGATTTGTGGACGTAATTCCACGTAAATGTTGCGTTCTCTCTTTTTCTCTCTCCATTCTATGCTCCCACGAATTTTAACATAGTATCAAAGCGAGATCAATTCCGTCTTTGCCCGAGTTATCAATCCATTTTTCTCGCCGCATTAGATCCTCTAGAAAGCAAAAACTCATTGTTGTTGCCTCATCCAGTAACCAGAGGAAGATATTTTTCTCGCCGCATTAGATCCTCTATAAAGCAAAAACTCATTGTTGTTGCCTCCTCAGTAACCTGAGGAAGATATTTTTCCTCGATTGCACAGATGGTTTACTCTATGTTAACACAAAATATCATAAGGTCGATATGAATTTGATGGTATGTGTGCCTGGTGCATTGGTAAATACTGTGCATGCTCTCGATGGCGGTGATCAACAAGATGGGATGCTACTATGGCTTGAAGAATTTGCCAGGCGCTTGCAAAGTGGTGTTATTGGGGTTCACGAGGAGAACAATGCTAGAAGTATATCTCTATATCCAAAGACACCACCATTGATATCTTGGATATATCGGGTTCGTATTGATATATATCATTATAGACGTATGAGTATATATGTCTTAAAATTAGGTATCTAGAAGATAAACGCCAAGTTTTTAGTTTGGTGATAAAGCCTTGTACTATTTACCTATCTCCAAGAATCATACCATATTTATCCTGTAATTGTGTGATCGTCATCTATATATAGAGGTACTTATTGATATAAACGATCATCCAAAACAGTAAAGATGTAGCCAATTGGGCTTTGGATCCGTGGACGTAAGGCTTCGGCCTGAACCACATAAATGTTGTGCTCTCTCTTCTTCTCTCTCCATTCTATACTCCCACGAATTCTAACATAAAAAACTAATAAAAAAAGTTTGTTTCGATGCTAGAAAACCCTCCAATTGATCATTACAATCTTGAGATGTATAGTTATAAAAAAGAAAATGATTTAAGTCATAACACGAATTGCATTTTGTAACAAAATTTATGGAATATATATTTTCAAGATTTTCATATGTCTATAGATATGTTTTATGTGCACCCTCTTGAAGCTTCAAATTTCATAAAGGGGGGTGAAAGTAGTTTTTCAGGTCATTGCGGGGATTCTAACACCCATAATTGAATCTTCCAACAGGGTTTGGAGGGTTACCTTACTTTGATTATTTAAGATTAATGTCTTATAAAAATGTCACCCTCGACTTTTGAAAGATTGAAGGCAAAAATTTATACACAAGGTGTCAACCTTAAGTTATAGAGTATGGATGTCATGTACATCTCAAAAACCACAAGATGTTCGTTCTGACATTGAAAAGCCCTACTATTGATCATCTTGACCTCAAAATTGATGTCTATGAAAAGATAAATGATTTTAAATCCTAAAAATAGTGCATTTTATAGCATTTTATTTAGATTGTAGGTGTTTATGGATCTGCTCTATCTATACAATTTTTTGAGTTCTAAAGTTTATAATTAAGGGTGAAAATTGACTCTAAGTTCTAAAGTTTTCTGGCATTAGAATTACACCTTTTAGCAAATCTTAAAAGTGCATCTTATTCTGATTATTTAAGATTGACATTTTATACCAATCAATGTTATCAGGATTGGACTGGTCATCGAACCAATGAAGAGTCTAGTTTAATCAAAATTAATCTGACCCAGTAGAGCCAGTTTGTACAGATTTAAAAATGATGAGAAAACATATGATTAATAAATAGAATACATAATATATTAAATAAAAAATTTCCATGTTTTGTTTGGCTAGTTGGACAGGTTGAAACCAAGTAGTTAGATATTTTAATCAAACCCAATTTTTACTTAGACTATACCGACCAAATCTGGTAAGAGGTCTGACCGGTTCGACAATTGATTTGAACTGGCCTTCATAACTATAATATAATCCACGTATCATATCCGCCATTGTCCATGGCGGGCTAGCGATGGTAGAGATGGAGATTCCACATGTCTTGTACTGTAGGACCGGGTCTCATAGGATCTTCACCTTTAAAGTAAAAATAACATCTTTTTAACTTATTTATTATTTGTTTTTGGAAATCGTTGGAAAAGCAATGCTGTGTCATGCATAAAGAGGAAAACAGAGTTTTTAACCTTGGAAAGTGTACTTGTTTGTTTGCGTCTACTTAGCCTATGACTAGACGCGGGTGCAACAAAAATTGGCTTCTAGTGGAACCATGGGCTGGAAACCAAATATACTTGATATTAAAACCCAAATGCAAGGCCAATAATAGGGGTGGCAATGGACACGGACCCGACCTGGACCCATGCTCGGCCCCGATGGATCTAGGTATAGGTCTAAGAATTGGACTCGGCAGGTCAAGTTTGGGTCCACATAGACCTGACCCAAATAATGTCATTATGCAAATAATATTTAATATATGGGCATGCTTTCTATGCTTCCCCCACAGCAGAGAAGTTCTATCTTCCCCCTTATCCAACCGTCCATTCTGAATGAAGGGCTAAGATTGTCCCAATCACAATGTCACGTCTCCATACTCTTTTATTTTTAATTTTTTCCTATAAACTATTTTGACGCCAAATTTTAGACCTCCATTCCTCTATTAAACTCGCACTAGCGAAAAATATAAAAAAAATATTTTTAATAAAATGACCAAAATACCCCTAAAAGATTCAAGAGGTATTTTGGTCATTCTATTTTATCAAAAAATTATTTTTAAGATTTTTTATAGGTGCGTCTCAATGAGAAGATGACACGTACCAAGTTTCATATTCATACAATTTGTATAAAAAAAAACTAAAAATAAAATACTTTGAGACGTCAGATTTAAGATCAAACGGTAAATGGCTCTCTTGATCAAAATTGAACTACTGGATGGTAGGGGGAGGATAGAACTTCTATACTGTAGGGAAAGCATAGAAACCTTTCCCTTAATATATAATACTTTAATAATATTTAATTAATATTCAAATAAATATAATTATATATTTTTAGTTTTGATATTTAAATTATATATATATATATTTTTTTTTATTTTTTTTTTATTTTTTTTTTTTGGATCAGGTCTAATTGGGTCCAGTTCCATAATTTTTTTTTGGTCCAAGTTCAGAAGGACCCGACCGTTGCCACCTCTAGGTCATCTAACAAACCCAAATTACTCTATCTCTTATCAAATAGACCCAAATTACTCTCTCTCTCTCTCTCTCTCTCATCGTGTCCGATTTGCAATCCAAAAAGAGAGTAGTCCCCTCCAACAACGAATCTAGGTCATGCATTTGGTGAATTTCAAGATCTTATCCGTTACAAACTTAATATCATTTTTTTATTTTTTAACATTGTTATCTAATGATAATAAAGCCATCTAAAAAAAATAGAAAAGAAAAAATCCTTCTAAAGCTTAGATCTAAGCATCTTATCAAAATGGACGGCCTATGTTAATTGGGTTAAAATATACTTTTTAGGTTCTATTTTTTAAATTTTATTTTTTGTGATTGTTCATCAGAATTAAAGATTGTTGCATTATACTATGAGACAACCATTGCATGAAATCTCTTCCCAAATAAATCATTGCCCTATATGAATATGATATGAATTGTATCAGGATATGGATTGATATGAGATATGACAACATTGGTTACTATCAAGTATCAACAACCAAAAAATTGAGCGTATATAATGAGACCATTACCTTCTTTTGCACAACAGCCATAACAATCTAAACCATCCAATATAAGATCATTTGGCCTATACATGTCATATTTTTTGTGTCAAGTCTGAGAAATTTTTGTTGGGTGGTATGAGGTTTATATTCTTCCGTCAACCACTCAATTTCATAACTATGGCTAAAGGTGATTGTGATCTTTTTATACTAGAGAAATCTTACTATGCACTTTCGCTAAAAAAAGGTGTGGGTTACTACTGTGGGAAGGGCATTTATGTTAGGTGCAGTTTGTATAGAGCCTAGGCTCTAAACAATCAAATTAGAGCCTACCTTCAAATAGGGTCGAGAAATGTGGTTTCAATACTAAAGATCTTTTTGAGAGCCTTAGAATATATTTTCATCCTTATTTATAAAGTTTAAAGTTTAAATAATAGTGTATATCGAGAGATCTATAAAAACTTGAAAATTGACGGTCAAAAAATGCGTTACAAAATACACTATTTTAAAAACTTGAAATCCATTTTTTCTCATGTCCATGCGTCTTGATGTCAAGATGATCAATTTCATGATATTTGAGTATCAAAACAACCTTTTCTAGTGAAATTTTTGAGGTAGGCTCTAATTTGATTGTTTAGAGCCTCGGCTCTATATAAACTTTTCCCTATATGTTATGTTGGAGAATAAGGATGTTCATCCTCTTCTTCAAAATTTGAGAAGGGGAAAGCACATTGTGCACGTGCTGCCTGTCACACATGGTACTGCTGCCCTTTCCTACTAAAACAAATGGCAAGTAATCTATGCTGGAATTTGGTTTCCAACAGTTTGCTACCACCCCTCCGACAGCTAGTTGTCGGCGTATGTCCTCTCAATCTCATATGCAATGAGCTTGTTAGGTGAATATAACCAACATGCAACAAAATATAACCAAAATATTCCCTTTCTTGTACGTAAATATTGTGGGGGTATTTTAGTGTTTTTTCTTATTTTTGTATATATATATTTTTGTGCTCTTAGGTCAGGTTGATGTCTCATATGCATTGAATTTATAAAAGAGATATTTATTAAAAAAGTGCGGTTTGTATAGAGCTGAGGCTCGAAACGATCAAAGTAAAGCCCACCTTCAAATAGTATTGGGAAATGTGGTTTAAATATTAGAAATCTTTATAATAGACTTAAAATATATTTTCATCTTTAATTATAAAATTTAAATCTTAAAAAATAGTGCAGATCGAGTATATCTATGAAAACTTGAAAATCTTACAAATTGACGGTTCAAAATGCGTTACAAGATGCACTATTTCCAAAACTAGAAATCTATTTTTTCTCATGTCCATCCATCTTGATGTCGAGATTATCAGTTTGAGGATATTTGGGCATCAAAACAACCTCTTCTAGTAAGATTTTTGAGGTAGGCTCTAATTTAATTGTTTAGAGCCTCGACTATTAAAATACACCTACCTTTTCAAGAATTTAATAGTTTATCTTTTTCAACTATTCGAACTCATGGTTATGTGTATTTAATGGGTATTCTAGAATTTGCAACAAATGAAATAGCGACAGAGAGAGAGAAAAAGACCAACAACAGATATATGTGGTTGGCAATAGTGCCTATGTCCACGGAAGATAAACCAATATCTCATTCATAGAAACTACTTTGATTTATGAAAGATTTATAGAGTTACAACTCTCGTATTTTAGGAAACAAATCTCATTACAACTATAATCCCACATAATAGGAAACTTAGTATAAAAAATTCAATATCTTATAACCTACAAGATAGGAAATTCAATACTGGTTGCTATAACTATCAACAATATTTCAGAATTAAATATATAGATAAAATATTAAATAATTTATCTCTTATGTGTTATTTGATAAATTTCCCTCCATAAAAAATTGAAAATAAAATACTAAAAGCATTCAAATGGAGCCAAATTCAATATGGACCAATCTGCTAGTAGGCTGCAAGAAGTTACTCCCATACGCCTGCATATATTATTGTGACCAAATTTTAGTTCTCAACATCAATTATTATTATTATTATTATTATTATTTGGGCAATTAAAAAGAGGGTAAGTAGCCCCTATCTCTTGGCGACAATAGAGTCGGAAATTTCATCATGCTTGCCGGTATTACCGTCTCAGGTCCATGGGTTAATTTCCCATGTACTTACCAGTGTATCAATCAATCTACACCTAACCAAAAATAATTCAAATAAATATTATTTTTCAATCCTTCGTTGGTGCTCTTATCACACTATTACTCAATTTCACATCTTCAGTAGGAAAAAGTTCATGAGAATACTGTCCTAATATTTTTCCAGGTAAAAGCAAAAACTTTATTAAATGTATCTAATTTCACATATATAGTTGACATTGATTAATTCATTCAAAGGGAATTTATTGAAAATAAAAACACAAGAGAATCTTCTTCCTTTTACCCGTACATCTTTTCAAAGCAAAAGCACAATAAACTTTTGTAGGGTCGGCAACAAGTAGGGCCTGGTGTGGGCTGTACTGGGTCACCAGGGGCCCGGCCATGGCTTGGCCTGGGCCAGGTCACGAGCGTCCCACCAATGGTCTGGCCTGGTTGAGGCCCTAAATATGTGCCTGGCTACAAAAACCCTAAACTTTTATGAAAGGGTTTCATGATATTCGACCAATTGTCTTTGGCATGTGAACCTCAATATCCTCGAGCTCATTAGCTAAGTGACAATTGACACATACAATAAGTCCAGTTACTTCTCGAGGATTTTGATGGCCCGAGCGCTCATCTCTGAGATTAGCAACGACCAATATCAATAACATAATGAAATGGCTAATGGGCAAACGACCAGAATTGAAACCGCGTATGGTGGAAAGAAATCTCAAATTTGTGCCTAGTATGAGTTCTTTCGAGTCCCATAATCCCGGAAAAGGACTGTCGGGCCGGGTCCCGGACCCATTGCCAACCCTATACTCTTTGGAAGAAAATTGATCGAGGGGCATAAGAGGTTACCTAGTAAAAGATGGGGCTATCTTAGGTAAATTGAAAAGTTTGGCCTGTTTTACTTTTCGGACGTGCATAAAGATTTTGGATCATATTGGAGATTTATTGGGTGATTTTAACTTTACTTAAAGTCTTAAACTAATAATTAATTAATGGATGAAGTTTCTATAAGGCCTAGGCTTTATGAAAACAAAATAAAGCCTCACATCAAATCCTCGTCTAAGAAGCACTATCGGTAACAAAAATCTCCATGATGGATCTAAATCAATTTCCAACACTGATAATAAAACTTGGAACTCAAAAAATGAAAAAGATCTTGCGGATCTATAGATGCTTAATTTTTGGATGAAATGGACGGTTTAGATAATTTGTTACAATATAAATGATTTTTAAAGTTTAAATTCCTAATTTATTTTTTTTCACAACTAATATATTCATGTTGAGAGATGATCTATTGGACTCGAGTCTCTCAAACTATTTTCGCACAGCTGGAAAAAGTTTTTATAGAGCCTAGGCTCTAAACAATCAAATTAGAGCCCACCTCATAAATTTCATTAAAAGAGGGTTTTTTTTTTTTTTTTATGCCTAAATATCTTCAAAATGATCATCTCAACATCAAGATGCATGGACATGAGAAAAAAATGGATTTTAAGTTTTAAAAACAGTATATTTTGTAATGCATTTTGAGCCGTCAATTTTCAAGTTTTCATAGATACGCTCTATCTACATTATTTTTGAAACTTTAAATTTTATAATTACAGATGACAATATATTTTAAGACTATTGCAAATATTTCCAAAATCGAAACCACATTTCTAGATACTATTTAAAGGTGGGTTTTGCTTTGATTGTTTAGAGCCTCGGCTCTATATAAACCGCAGCCATATACAAATTATCGCTATAATCATTGGCTTTCTTACACTAAACCCACACATGTCCCTTTTTTCTCTCTCTCTATCGTGCTGTCACATTATCCTCTCTCTTTACACCGGGCTGCCCCTTTTCTTCTCTCTCTACCAAATCACGGACATGGACTGACTCACGGTCCTGCAGGTCCTCTCTCTCTCTCTCTCTCTCTCTCTCTCTCATTGGGGTTCATTACCAGTCTCTCTTGGTTGAGTTTTCATCTCTCTCTCTCTTCACACACGCAACCACACGCTATAAGTTTTCATCTCTCTCTCTCGCCTTCAGGTTCATCGCAGCCGCTCACACTCATTGAGGTTCAATCTCAGTCAATCTCAGTCCGTCTCTTTCATTGAGGTTTTCTGTCTGTCTCTCTCTCGCTATTTAGCAGTTCTCTCTCTCGATCGTGTGAGTGCGCTTGAGGTGAATAGCACATCTTCTCTCTTTTCAGCTCTGGAATTTATGGACTCTCTGGAGAAGTTATGCGAGAAACCCCCAAAGAAGTAAGTTTTTAACGAATTCAACTTTGTTATGTAGCTAATTGTACCTCTGCAGCATTAGTCACAAGATTCGATTTTCTGGTTTTTTGGGAAATGTTGGTGGAAAAAGCAGTGCCATTTGCATGCATTTTCATATTCTTGTTTCTCTTTTCATTCTTTTTCTGCATTAAACATGATCACATAAGTCAGCTAAGCCTCTGATACTTTCTGCTGAGCTTTGCTTTTATACTTATATTTTGTTTTTTACGGTGAATTAGAAGCTGGTTGATTGTTCACTTATAATTAAATTGAAAAAGGAAGTTCGACCAGAACTTAATGTACTTGTGTAGAACAGTCAAAGGGAATTATTTGAATTATCAGCTCCTGATCTTTGACAAAGAAATTTTTTGTTAAGCCACCTCAATAGTGCTAGGGTTTTATACAATTTGATTGTGTGTTTTATTCCGCAACTCAATTATTGGAATGGATATCAGCTTCTAGCTTTTTTTTTTTATTTTTTTGAAGTCTAAAGTTGAATCACGGTATGTGATGTTGTGATGATGATAAAATAGGAGGTAATATTTATCGTCGTTTGAATTTGAGGCGTCCTTTAGCTCTTATTATAGAGCTGAAATTAGTAGATGAACATGCACAGGCTCTCTTTGGGAAGGTTCAATGTGGCTTTAGGTAATTTTATTATGATTAAAAAGGCAAGTTTTCTGGCGTCCATCAATTACTTATCTCTCTAAAACAATGCAAAACAAAAGAAATTGTGTTGATGGAGTTAAATTTATCAAATGGAACCTGAATGGAGGGGGTTTCAGCTTACCAAAACCTTTTTGCTGCAAATGCATTTGGAAACTAATTTCTATCAACTGTAATGCTTTCGTCAGATTGGACATGAAACTAGGCTATTTGACTTTTGGGGGGCTTGACGATTTTTATTTCCTCTTTTTATTCTTTCGTAATTTGGAAGCAGGTTTCATTAGCTATCAGCTTCTGATGCAAAATTATGTTTTTAGTGTTAGTGGGGCCAAAATCACTATTTTTTGTGCTCCTTTGATTTGTGGAAATGTGCATTCCTGCTGAAGTAGTTAAAGGATCAAGTTTTTACGTGACTAGTTCTAAAATTCCTCCACTAAATAAGGCCTTACCATACTATAACATAAAATGCCCATTCTGGAAATAACAAGGTTTTTATCATCTTCTTATGTCCTGTTTGATAAATTTTTTAATGAAGTGCTATACAATTTTTATCTTAGCCTAAGGGAGTCTTATCTTCTATTGTAGGTTTCAGATGTTGTAGAAGAACATGGAAGACATAGGCCTGTTTAAGGAGGGTTTGAAATGGGTTCGATCTCAGAAACATGTCTTCTTGAGTACCCAGGCGTCGATTTGTTCAACCAGGGAGAGGATTGCAGCTATGGTCGACTGCCATGGTCCTGTACTTTACAGTGGCTGTTTGCATCTATGGAAGATGTTATTTTTGGTATTGAGAGAGTGGAAGAGCTGCATAACAAGGGGAATGGGCTCTTTACTCAGTCTGGGTTCCACGACATTCTTTGTTATACTTTGGTGTTGTTTTCTTAGTCTCACCTCAACCTCATGCATTGTTTATGTGTTCCTAGTACTGGTTAGTCTTTTCACCTTGTTATTATTGTTGTTTTTTTGGATAAGTATTGTTGCTTGATGTTTCAGCATGCTTTTGCTTATTGTGGTTCAAGGTTGCTATTATTGCGTTTACAAACTGGTCAAGATTTTATACATTCACTGGGTTCTAGTGTGGTAATTTTTAAATGTCTATTTCAAATATGGAGTAGTTACTTCCTATATTGTGATCTTGAAGGCGTGGCTTGCGTTATGCCATTGAATATGTCCTCCATGTTTCCTATTTCATGTGAATGCATTGTGCAGTTAGGCTCTCTGATCAGTTTGCTCTAGTTTACATGGTTGTCATCTTTAACCTAATTTATTTAACTGCCTTCACTAGAACAATTCTTGCTAGTGACTTTGCCAGTTCGGTTTTATGCTAGGGAGGTCAACAATTGAGCCTATTTTCGTACTTAAGCAATTGATGTAGAAGTTTAATGAGAAGAGAAAAGACCTCCACATAGTCTTTGTTGATTTAGAGAAAGCATTTGATAGTGTACCGAGAGAGTTAATTTGGTGGATCTTAGAAAAGATATGTGCAAGGGGGTGTTAACTAGTTTGAGGACAACTAGTGGAGAGACTAGTTGTTATTGACAATGGGCCTACATTAGGAGTCAGCATTGCCTACACCTCTTTAGTTTGATTATGGACGAGTTAACTAGGCATCTACAGGATGTGGTACTGTGGTGTATGTTGTTTGTGGATGACATAGTTTTGATTGATGAGACTAGAGATATCGTCAATGCAAAGTTATAACTTTGGAGGGATGCTCTAGAATAAAAAAAGCTTTTAAAGTTAGTGACCTAAGATAGAATATATGGAATGCAAGTTTAATAATAACTGAAGTAGAAACAAGGAATTTCAAATTCCTCACCAATGGATCGGAGGATTTCAATGGTTGTTTGATAAAATGAAAGATTCAGTTGGAACATGACCAAGGAATCAAAATCATAATATCAGTCTCTTGAACCTGAACATTTACTCAGACCTTTCTCAACATTTTGAGAAAGTATCCCAAAAAAAAATGGCAGATCTGACATTTCTTAAAGTTTGAAATGAAGCCCCACATGAAATTTAGATAGAGCAAATAAAGAACTGCATCAAATTCTCTCTTGTGCATTTGGACCTCCTAGCTGTTCTATTGATTCGTCAATGAATGGAGATGTAGTAGTCTAGTAATCAAGCAGGGTTTGTTGCACCATTGCATGGAGATTCCATTGGAGTCACCGGAAATGGACGAAATCATTTTAATGATAAATATTCTTAATGCAGCTCCAATGTCCTCAGCAGTCAAATAATAAGTAACTATTGTCTAAGAAACTAATAAAGAAACTCATTTTTTTATTTGGAAAAATCCTATCGAAAGAAAGAAACTTCAAAGAAAAGGAAATCTTTTGACCAGTATTGGATTTCCAGTTTCTCAATTTTGTCACATAATATTTATCTGCAACCCACCATTGTCACATAAAAATAAAACTGGTATGATTCAGCTGTTTTGGGTGATTTAGTCGATTAGCAGAAACAGGTTGACCCTTACGTTGAAGCAACCATACTTTTCTTCATAACATCTATCCTTTTGAATGCCTGTTTCTTAAGCCTAAATGGTCTGTGGAAGTCTCATTCACAAAAGAAGTTTGAATTATGTTGTAGGGAGCTGCTGCTGCTGCTGTTCGCTTCTTGGGCTACACTCCTGGACTCTTTTTGGTTGGATTTTTTGGGATTTTGATTTTGTGGATGTATGGCAACTTTTGGGTCACTGGTTCGTTGTTTTTAATTGGAGGTGCATAATGCTACTTTCCCAGTATAATTTCTGACTAATCTTATCTGCTTCAGAGAGAGTGAATCATGATCAATTGGAATGAGGAATACGGTACTCCAAAAGGACATCCATCATCTGTTTGTGATGAAAAATGGTGGGGATTAACTGTACCTGCATCAATTTCCAGATATTTAATATAAAGTTTTTTTTAAATGAGATATTTAATATAAAGTTAATCTCCAGTATCCATCATTATGAACAGATGATGGATACCCCTTCAGAGTAATCCAAGCCCATGCTCCATTGGATATGATATTCTTCCTGTCTATTCTATTGTGGTATTCACATGTGAGTTTCCATCATTCTGAAGGCTACGTTATGACAATGCAGCTTATTTGTTCTCTATGAGTCACACTCGGCTGGTGATCGTTATGTCAACTGTATATGCTGTTTATTGTGCCCAAATTCGAGTTGGATGGTTTGGAGTTTTTCTCGCAATAAACTTGGCATTTGTATCTGATGATCTCCTAAATTACTTGCTTCAAGGATATGAGAATGCAAACCAAAACACTGAGTTTGAAGAACCTACGAAACCAACAGTGAGTATGGAAGATTTTTCTTGCGATTCTGAATATTCGGCGCCAAGTGGAGATGGGGAAGAATTTTCTTCACCCCAATCTTCCAGTAAAATGTCCTATTCGCCCCCAAATTCTGTAAAAGTTCAGAGAGATTCAGCTGCTAGTAAGGTTGTCAAAGCAGATTCTGGTTCATTGGATGAGATGAGAAGGATAATAAATAGTTCAGACCATTATCAAGCACTGGGTTTATATCGAAATAAGAATGTTGATGTCACTCTTTTGAAGAAGATCTACAGGAAAAAGGTATTCTGATGAGTTTAGCTTTTGCATATATATTACCCATTCTCCTCTGATGTCGTTCCATGATGAAGGCAGGCAAATATACTATAGACCCATGGATTATGAACCGTAGTCCATTGGATCATCACTGTCTGATGAAGTCTTGGGACAGTTGTGGAAGTAGAATGAGTCCCAGCAAAATAATACATGGCCCTTTTGCAGCGTACCTCTCGCCATCACTGTTCCACCATTTCCTCAGCTGGTGATGACCCCAGAGGATTTCCATAGTCCATTGGCTTACAGTAATATTCCAAAGAGGAAAAAATAAAATAAAAATAAAGATCACAACACGCGTTCCTGGAACCAACCATATTTCAAGCCATTATGGTGCTATGTTTCCCACTTCCCCAAAAGAAGATATGTGCCAGCTTTATTTGATATTAGTCTTATGTTGTAATCTTTTTTGTTTTGTTTAGGCTATGCTTGTACATCCTGATAAGAATATGGGAAATCCCATGGCAAGCGAATCTTTTAAGAAACTTCAATGTGCATATGAGGTGAGTTCCTATGGATAAAGTACATTCACTGTTAAAAAACAGGAAAAACATGGAACTCTGTTTCTTTTGTTGCATTATAAGGGTTAACTTAATAATGTGTTCCTTGGCTGACACTTCAATGCGCCAGGGGTATATTTCTGAAGTTTCTATTTAGAAAAGAACAAGTTGTATCATAAGTTTTAATGGTTAAACCCTTTTCAGATTATTTCAGATGCCACAAAGAGGAAAAACTATGATGAGCAATTGAGGAAGGAAGAATCAAGTAGTGCTCGGCAGAGATCTCATGGTACTTCCCAACAGGTATTAGATGCATTCTGATATTGATATACTGTGAAATGTTTCAGGGCTAGAAACTTTTGGAATAGATTTGTATTTTCAAAATCGAATATAATGGCTTTTTTTTTTCGATTGTTAGGGTGTCATGGTAAAATTCCCTTAATATCTGGTCATCAAAACAGATGGATAAAGCATGTATTTAGATTAACACAATTCCAGTTGATGGTTCTGTCATTCTCTTGTAATTCCACTTAGAAACCAGTTGACAATGGCCTCTGAATTGTTAGGATGGGGTGGAATATCGGTCAGAAGAGTCCAGACGAATTCACTGCACCAAATGTGGCAACTCCCATATATGGATATGCACTAACAGAACTAAGTATAGGGCAAGATGGTGCCAGGTGTGGTTTGTTGCATTTTCTTGATGTAGGATTAATTTGTTATTAAAGAAGCATACCATAGTTGAATAGCTTGTGTTATATGGTTCCCCAAGCTACATCCACCTGTTGGCTCCCACTGATGGATAGTTGGAGATTAACTATGCTTGGATAAGTGTCCTCTATGGACCCCAATCTAGTTAATCTGCAATCATGCTTTTTTGGAAAGGGATGGTGGATGCGGCCCCAGGTACAATATATCATTGTCCTTTGGACTTCACTGTTCATTCCCTTTATTATTTTCAGTTGTTTCCCGATCTGTTTTAATTTAGAGGTCTCGTATGCTGTCATCAGGAATGCAGCCAGTATCATCAAGCCAAAGATGGAGATGGATGGGTTGAAGATGGGTTACCAATATATTTTGGAATGGCTAAAAAAGTAAAGTCGAAACCTTAATATTTTTTATTCATTCTCATGAAATAATTTATTTCTAACTGAAGGAACACATATGTTTCTCACTTACAATCATATGTTGTAAGAATTGTGCAAAATGCGAGGAGTAGCAACATCAAGACCAGTGAAGAATTACTTGGCTTCTTTAAGGATAGTGGGGTAGGTTAATAGCCGTTGAATACAAGGTCCTAAGGCCCCATTTGGATGTCCACCATTTCAGCCACATGCAATAAGCTGCCTTATTTTTCTGCCTAAGTGGTGAGTGGCATGGCAAGATATTCACTTCACAAGAATAAGGAGTGGAACCCCCATATCTGGAAAATGTGGCATATGAGCCCCATTTTGGCCTTGGGGATAAAAGAAAAGACTAATAAAAACCTCTTTTATCGCCATCACCAAAACTTGGATATTGTTCCACTCGATTTATGACCATTGAAGAGTGCCGATTTTCACATTTGCCCGTAAATGCGACTAAAAGTTAGGACTTGGATATGGCTAACAGGACATCCAAGTGGTTAAGTTCCTAATATTCTTATGGTAGGTGTAGTTTGTGAGTTTGAGGTTTTGAGCTATGGAAGGGCAATATCTAGCTGGCTCAGGGGTAGGCATGCCCAACTAAAATTGCTTCCTGCTAGAAAAAGGTGAAATAGATTGATATCCCTAAACTTGAACCATGTTCAGGGTCGCAAATTACCTCAATGTGTTTAGGGATCCTTATCAAAATAGGATTCTATGCTGGGTTCGAACTCAATTAACTTTGTAGAATATTGATACTCTGAATGTAAGCATTAAGAGTTTGAAATAACATGGAACTGTAGTCTTCCATGCATGTTCCCAAAGTTTTTTGGGGAGAACTCTCTTGCTTTAGTTTATTCTTTGTTTCTAAACATCTGTCAATTTTTATGTTTACCCCAAATAGTTGGGAAAAGGCTTTGATGATGATGATAAGGAGGACTAGTGTTCAAGCATTTGGCCATTAAAGGAAAATTCTATGGATTGTCATGTGAAGATGAAAAGTTATTGTTAGGTTTGGTGATAGTCAAAATCACCATACCTATGTTTTTATTAAAAGATCAAAGGTATTATGGTAAAAAGGGAATGGGTTTCTTGGAGAGCAAGAAAGAAGCTGAAGTGATCTCTATAAAAGTGGATCAAGGAAAACATAATACCCATCCTTTTGAGGGTCACCGCTTTGGGGGTTATGGGAATGGATCTCCAAAGATGGAGATTGGTCTCCAAGTGAGAGAGACATGGCCTTCGAGAGAGAGGCGGTATTCCCATGAGTTTTGGGTTGGTAAGGCTTCCACTTCTATAGAGAGAAAAATCTCTCGGTTGCTCTTGAGGTTATCTTTCCGGTAGCAGTATTGCTGTAGGAAAGAAGGTATTGATCGATAGTGTTGCTCGGTCTGGAGAGCGAGTTTAGAAAGGAAGAGCGGTGATGGTCTTTTACCGATGTTTAGAGAGAGGTATGTCTCTTGTAACCCAAAACTGTAATCTTCATTGTGATAGTAGATTTCTAGTTGCCGATGACGTGGATGTAGCCCGATGGGGTGAACCACGTAAATCGTATTGTGGTGGTGTGCTTTATTAGTTTGTTATTAAATGTCGATGACATGATTGTTGCATGACCAAACAAGGAGAATATTGCAACACTTAAAGCTCAGTTGGCTAGGGAATTTGAGATAAAGAATTGGGAGCCGTTAACTGAATTCTTGGGATGTGTACTTAGAGACAGGAAGAACAGGAAAATCTGGTTAACTCATAAGATTTATGTGGAGAGTGTTCTGTGGCACTTCAATATGTTGAATGCCAAACCACTTAGTATCCCATGTCCTGTGCATATGAAGTTGTTTCGAAACAATGTCTTAGCAACGGAGCAGGGAAGACACAGATGTCTCAAGTACCGTATTCATCTGCAAAATGGAGCCTCATGTTTGCTTTGGTTAACACCAAACCTGACATAGCACAAACAGTGGGAGTTGTGAGCAAATATATTGCAAATCCTGGCCATGATCACTGGACCACTGTGAAATGGATCTTTCGGTATTTGAAGGGACCTTGTAATGCTGGTATTTATTACAGTGGAATGGATTTGAAAGTCACTGGTTATGTCGATGCTAACTTTGCAGTTACTTTGGATAAAAGAAGGTCTACTACCAGATATGTTTTTTCTTTGAGAGGTGGTGCAGTTAGTTGATTATCAAGGTTGTAGTCGTGGTGGCGTTGTCTTCTACAGAGGCTGAGTATATGTCACTTATATGCATCTAAAGAAGCAATTTGGTTAAACAGGTTACTTGCTGAATTCCAAGTTGTGCAAGAAAGTATTCCGCTTCATTGTGATAACCAGAGTGCCTTCTTTCTAGCAAGGAATTCAGCCTTCCATGACAGGTCTAAGCATATTGATGTTCATTATCACTTTATTTGTGATGTGGTAGAAGATGGAAAAATTTTATTGCAGAAAATTCATACGGATGACAATCCAGCAGATATGTTGACTAAGCCCATAGGGAAAGGAAAGTTCACTTGGTGCAAAACTTCCTTAGTGCTCGTGGTTACTTGATAATTAGTAACCGGTGGGTAGCAATTTTGCAGCAGACTAGTCAGAATGGAAACATATCTTCAAGTGGGAGAATGTTGAGTGCGTGAAGTCTATGTTGCTTTGGACTCACATATCTCTTTCCTATTATATAGGAGAACCAATTTTTAGGAGATTGGTTGTTATAGTTTGGGAATCCTATTTTTACGGGAAGTCAATCTTTTAGGTGTGGGTAATCTCACGTAAACCAAAGAGCCATAAGATCTATATATTTTCCATTATATTTCCTAAATTTATGGTAACCTAAATTTATGGGATATAAAATCTTGGAGCTATGGATAATGCGTGATTTCTATGGGAGATATAAATCTATTGCTAAACCTAAAAAGTAGGAAACTAAATCATGTTAGGAATGGGAGAGAGGCCTCACGTGGGTCTCTTGGGTTCTACTCTTTATAAAGAGAGCTTTGTAGAGAGAGATAATAATGCAAGGAAAAAACCAAAGAGAAAAAAGGTTAGTTTCATTTAGTCTTTTTGGGTGGGTATTCTTGAGAGAGAAAGACCCTGTTGGACTTGAGAGAGAGAGCTTGTAATCCACCTTGTTGGGCTTGAGAGAGAGAGCTTGTAATCCCTTGAGTGAAAGAGAACTTTGCTGCGTCGTGGATGTAGGAAACTTGCTGAACCACAAATCTTTGTGTAACCACGTAAATCTTTGTGTTTCTGTTCTTTTATTTTTCTGCACTATTTTTCTTTCTCTTATTTTTGTCAAACCTTGGTTTTTATCTACAGTTATGAATCTTTTTTTTCTTTTTTTCTTTTTTTGAGAAAGAAGATATGAATCTTTATTTTGTGGTTCTTGCTGTTGGATAAGTAGAAACTCCTCTGTTGCTTGAGTTTTTTTATTTTGTGGGTCTTATCGTTTAAGGGCATCACCTCAAGATAGACATTTTTATGCAGATTGTGATATATGGTTCCCTGCTTATCTGTCAAGATGTTTTTTCGCACATTTTCATATATGGCCCGTTGCTTATCTTTCAGGTTGATATACCACGTGCCTTTGCTTGTGCTGAGAGCAAGATATTTGATGTGTCAGAATGGGCTATTTGTCAGGTGGGTCTTTTGTTTTCCCTTACATAGTTTTATGCTAGGTGATTATTGTGCATCTAGATGCTCCTGACTTGATAATCTGTCTTATATGCCTGTTGCTTCAAAAGTTTGATTCTCTTGATGGTTTCGAATATAAAAATATCGTTAAAGCACCTATTTTTGATAGCTCCTGTGGAATTTTTATTGGTATAAACATGCTTATGTTTGGTATTTACTCAGCTTTTCAGAGCTTTTAAAGATATCTATGGTAGTTAAGATTGTTAAGTTGTATGTTATATGCATCTCTAGACGTGTGAAGTAAACTATTATGGTTATATAGCTAGCTGAGAAATTGTAATATCTTTGTACAATGTGTGAATTTGAACATAACTTCTCCACTTTGATGTTATTCAATCTATTAAACAATATTCTATATTTTTTATTGGTTACATTAAACAACATATTTAGTTGGGGAAATTTGTAGTATTTTCATACTCTCCTCTCCCTTCTCTTTATTTTTCTGCATATTTTCTGTTTCTATTTTATTCTAATTCTTGGTTTTACTACTTTAATGTAGAATCACTTGCATTAGACCCCTTAAAAGTTATTGTTTACATGATTTGTGGGGCCTGAGTCCAACATGGGAAGAAAAATATAGAGCATTCAGTTTTGTTTTTTTTTCAATAAATGGCTATGTAATACATATTATGAATGGGTATCCAAAATTGGATAAAACTGCACCAAAGGGAAAATTAGTTACAAAAATTCAGTAAACAACTCTTACCCTCTACAAATCCCATAAAGAAAGATAATAGAATTACAGAAAAATCTAAATGAGGATAAATCAAATTCTCAATGGGTAAGGAGTTGTGAGTTGTGACAACTTGGGGCTACTTTCCAATATGGCTTACGCTAGATATAAGCCCCCTTGGCTAGAAAAACTTGTTCTTTTCTTCTAATATGATAGTTTTGTGCAGGGAATGTCTTGTAGGCCGAACACTCACCGGCCAACATTCCACGTGAACACGAGCACCTTGGGTAAGGGAGTTCATCATCATCAGAAGCCAGTTCATCATCATCAGAAGCCCCGAGAAAGCGGTGGCTTCACTTCCTGGAATTTGGATGCTGAGATGATGGGAGATGAAGATGAAGCTGAGTTTGAATTGTGGCTTCAACAGGCGTTTGCAGCTGGCCTCTTTTCCGAACCCTCCTCCATAAAACGCAGGAAAATATGGACTCCTTTCAAGATCCACCAGAAAAAGAGCAAGAAACAGTGGCGCAAAATGCTGTGAGAAAATTGGTGGATGGAAGAGGAGAAAGGATGATGTTTGGTTGGTGGGGGTGGAGGGAAAGAAGAGAGAACTGATACAAAAGGAGATTTAGGTTGAGATCGACAGTGAGCCCGTAAATCAGTCCAGGTAACTCTTTGTACGTAACATTTGTAAAGTTTTGAGAGATAATGGCGAAACGGCGACTCTCTCTCTCTCGTCTCTCGTTACCTCTGGTGTCGTAGGTCTCTCTCTCTGCGCCTCTGGTGTTGTATGATTACTTATTAAGGAATGTTGTAGAAAGTTTCTTTAGCTTGTTGAATCTAAAATTTCAGGTAAATATTATCTTTGACTTTTGCAAGTTGCAATAATTCTGTTCTCTGAACATCTACATTCCTGCCTAAAGATGGCGGCTACATTATTGTTTTGTTTCCTTCATTGTTGAAACTGCACAGCTTAGCAAAACCTCTCTCTCTAAAATCCATGTTCAATCGGATAAAAAAATGGTTATTTATCCTGCAAGATGTACTTCTCGCACCGGAACTGCATCTTTCGAAGATTGTTGCCTTATACGAACCACAAATAACTTTGATAAAGGGGTGTGTGCCACTCATTTCGAATAGATCTCCATAATTTTTTGGTTTATTGTGCATTGATTTTCCCAATGTTTCAATTATTTTGCCTATTTTTCTATGTTTAACCAATATTATCATACTAGGCTTTCGCCGAAGAGGCCGAAGTTTTTGGATTTTTGGCCTAATCCGAAGGAAAGGGAAGCTCGGGTGCATTGCGCAGCCTACTTCGGCCCACTTCGGTCTGATTCTGCCTCTTCGGTCGAAGCACAAAATTGTCCTTTAAAGAGAGAATTAAAAGACCATTTTGTGCTTATGCTAGCTTCGACCTAACCCATTGTGCCGAAGTACCAAATTGTCTTCTTTTTTTTTTTTTTTTCTTTTGTAGTTTTTATTTTTACATTTTTTATTTTAATAATATATATATATATATATTCTTTATTTATGTTATTTTTTAAAAAAATATCGATGTTCTTCCTCCAAAGCGGTTGAATGACCAAATTGCTTGGTTTTTTTTATCAAACCGAAGGAGGTTTCAAAGTGAATCTGAGAACAGTGTGTTTAACTATAGTTCATTTTCTTTCTTTTTTTTTTTTGGTATTTGCCCGCCTTTATTGCTACAGAAGGGGAATGAAAAACCTTGGGCTTACCCGTAAATGACATTTATCTCTGATACTTTTAATTTGTATTTTTTTTATGAAAATTATCTCCGAAAACCTGATTTTACTATGATTTTTATTGAATTATTAAGGCACTAGAACTTAATGTCATGAAATATATCATCCTCACATGAACTTTGTTCCAACATCGGCAAAAAGTTGGGATGATGATGCTGATATTTAATTTAGGACATGGATTTCTAGTGGCTATAATAACTTAATAAAAACCCAATAAAATCAGTTTATCACACTGTTTTAAGAATCCTCGATATACTTTTTTAAATATAAAAAAAAAAAAAAAGCAGAAGAAGAAAATTCTTTTCTCAAGAATAACATTTATAAAATTCAGGATCAAGCTAGCAGTTCAAGTTTGAAAGAAACATATCACTTGTCTAAAAATACCTGTAAAATATCAATAATGCAAATCTGGAGCAATTTTCAAGGCCTTGAGCAGATGTTAAGTCAATAGCTGCTTTGGTTCCTGCCCAAGCCATAGTTTGGGTTAAGATTTTGGGCAATGGCCCATTTGTGGGTGATGAATCACCTTGGATGCTATCTTTTTGACATTTTAACTTGAGCAGGCACCTTTAAATTACCGTCTTTGTGTGACCACGAAAAAAAATGTAAATGGTGTGGTTTGCATATGGTTGCAACTTTAATCAATTAAAGGCATTAAACCTCCAAACTTTGTCATCGGAAGTAATTTTGGTGGGAAAATTGTTTAGGATGGTGCGAGAATCTATTTACATTTCTAATTATAAAATTTTAAACTTCAAAAATGGTTCAAATCAATTAGATGTATAAATGTATGAAAATCTTGAAAATTGACGGCCTAAATAATGTGTTGCAAGATGTATTATATTTGAGAGTTAAAATCTTTGTTTTCTCCATATTCATACATCTTGATATCGTGATGAATGATTAGATATTTTCCCAACATCAAAACAACTTTCTTCGAGGGATTTTTAAGTTGCAACTTAATTGTACATTTTAAAGTGTAAACCTTATATAAACTTTTTCCAAATGTAAAATGCCTATTTTATGCCAACTACAAATGCCGTGTTTTTCGGTGAAAGTCAAACCACGTGATCAATAACCCATGGGTTGCAGGAAAACAAGATCTAAAATTGTAATGTTGAATAACGATTTTTGTGATTTAATTTTGGGAAATTTATCAAATTATTTGTGATAGATTAACAATTTAACACTGCACCCATATCTTTTGATTTAATTTCAAACTACTCATAAAATAATGAGTAGTCTTGAGTTGGAATGGCTTGAAAAGAATAAATTATTAAATAGTTCATCTCTTATAGGAATTTTAATAAGTTTCTCATCAAATTTTAATATGTATTATAACTTATTGTCAAAATTTTCGTTTATGGAAAATAAATAAATTTTTATCCGAATCTATAGACTTAATAAGAAATTATTCCATAACACAATAATACAAAGTATATTAATTTTAATTTCCTAAGAGTCCTGATAAAAAGACAAGAAATAGAAAACTCAAGCACAACAATAGCCTAACAAAAGAGTTCCCCAATAATATTTCTTTTTGAAATATAGGAGCAGGAAGAAGCCTTATAATTTTGAAAACAATGATTGTGCCCTTCTTCCCAAACTTTCCTTGCATTTCCTCGAGGTGAAGTGGTTTGGGTGTCGGCGGGCTGGATGGCTACATTTACCCCAAAAATCCCACATAATATTTGAGGTCTCTTTGGAAAAAAAAAAAAATCAGAAAAATCATTGAGTTCAGAATTTTCTTTCAAAAAATTACTATATTTAAAAACTAAAAACTCTTTTTTACATATCCATATCCTAGATTATATATACCTAAAAAATTATGGAAATGCATACAATGTAACAATTTACCATTCATACAAAATGGTCACAATTCTTTACAACCATTTGATGTGAAATTTGATAGTTTGGATGTATCACAAAATTCAACAAAAATTTTTAAGCTTAGTGGAATAATTGTAACCACCCAATTTTACAAGGTCAAAATTAATGTGACCACTTTGTATCAAAAGTAAATAGCCTCATTCTATACTTTTTCAAGCTTCATCTAAAAATAGATCATAAAGAGAGGATGCATAACTATATATGAGTCCTAAAACCATCTTGAAAGAAATGAACATTGTCTCAGTTCGATCAACTTCCCAATAATAACCAAGTCCCCTCTCCATCTCAAATAGTGCAGATAACCTCTCCTTTCCATAAATAAAATTACCCAAAAACACCCTCCCATATCGGAAGCCCAAGCAATGGCTCAAATTCAATCTCGACAACATACTCCCAACTCCACAGTTGTTGATCTTCACATGGAGCAATCTGGACCGTCCTGATCCTAATGGGGAGCGATCTGGACCGCCTGTGAACCCGCCATCACTTACGGACCATGTATACATAACCTGCAGCCACAATGAAGCAAAGTCCCAAGGCCCCACACACCAAGCTGGTCACCAAAAGAATATTTCCAGTTTTGCCCATGGTCGACCGCTGTTCCGAATGCCGGACTTCAGTCACCGGAAAATTGGGGAAGTTATTGGAGTCCTGAGCTTCCGGCAGTGCAACAGTATCACTTGAACTCCCCGCAAAGAATGATTTGGTTTGGGGGGAGACGACGGCCACTGGGCTTTCGAAAGAAAGGCCGTGGTCGGAGGGTCGGATGTCTCGGGCCATGGGGCATTTTGGGGAAATCGACACTAATAGTAGTAGGATGATCACCTTTGGATAGAGGAAAGTATGGTGAGATTTATTTAGGAGGAGCATTTTCTTTATGTGTTCAATTAAGGTGGTTGATCCTGCTTTTTCTCCCTGCAAATAATAGAGTTCGGGGATGTTGTCTGAGAGAGAGAGAGAGGTGGTAGCTAAATGGTTTCTGCATGGAAAAAGTCTATATAAGGATGCCTCTTATAATGTAGAACTACGGATGCACTTCAAAAATTTATCGGAAAATATAGTTTTAATGTTATTTGATTGATCATCTGGACATTGAAATGTAGGACCGTGAAAAATAAAAAGTTTCAAGTGTATTTTACAATATATTATCAACACCGTCCATTTTCAAGATTTTCATATATTTATTGATCTACTTGATTTTCATCATTTTTAAAATTTAAAATTTTATAATTAGATATAAAAATAGATTTCGAAGTAATCATTTTATATCAAAATTATATACCATGATAAAATTTGAAGGTGTACCTTACCTCTACACCTATCCGTATGCCAACTGCACCCTTTGTGCATTAGGGCTGGAAATGGGCCGGCCCAGACCTAAAGGCCTAGGGTCGGACTAGGGCCACTGCCGACCGGTAGTTCTGTCACATGCAGTTCAGTCACATGCGGTGCAATTAATTTCATGAACATAAAAATAAAGTTATCCGACTTTACTAAATTCTAACTCTGCTCCTCCTGCTGATTCAGATTCCAGAAATAGTAAAGAAGCTTCGATCTTTTGTGGATTTTCTGCCCTAATTCATTGGCTCATTGGGTCTCTCTCTATCCAATTAGGGTTTCAATGTGGTAAGAACAAAACATAATGGATTTCTTGCCATTTTTTAAAAGTCTTTGGTTCTGAAATTCTAATGCAAATTTCTCATTGTCAATGTTGTCTTTGATGTAGGAGTTTCTCTACTTGAACCTGCAGTTTATTTCCTAATTTAGCAGAATTTTGGCTACTGTAACAAAGCTTTCAGATCTGCACTACTCTGCTTTTAGATCCAGATCCTTCTTTCATGTCTATACAATTCAGGCAAAATCTAAGACCTCTCTCTCTAGAAACCCATGTCTCCAATTACCCCCACCCCATCCAAAAAAAAAAGAAGTGAGTCGAAGATTCTGGTTTCAAGGTCAAATGCAATGAAAAGGGGATCTCGGTTTTTGTTGAAATTTATAAATCTGGTAATAAAACTCCATTTCTTGCCTATTTCAGTAAAAAATTTGAAGCCCACATCATCTGCTACATCCTGTGAATCACTAAAATCTTGTAAAGAAACCTCCATTCTTACCTTTTCTGGTGAAACTCAGAGCATGAACACCTCTCTCACTGCAACAGGAACAACTTTAGAAAAATCTTGTTCATCAATTCATTTCTGCTGCTTCTGATGGTCTCACTGCAAAGAAAAAAAATAAAATAAATGAAATCACTCTAAATTTGGTGAAACCAATAGTTTCAATTGAAGTTAAATTCTTATTCATCTCTCTGCTGCTTCAGATACTCTCACATTAAAGAGGAGGCAAAAGAAAAGGGCTGAAATCTTTGTGATTTGTTGAAATTTGTTACCTGAAAGGGCACAACAGAAGTCAAGCTCAGACTATCCATTCTTTGCTTGTGAAGAGCTTGGTTTTTAGTGTACACTTCCAAACCTTTCCTTCTAAAGTACTCGGACATTTAAAAATGTGGGCGTTGCAGAAATGCATTTCTGATCTTGGGGCTCTCACTTTTAATGTGAAACCTTATCTAAACAATCACATGACAAAAGCTAGAGTCGGTGTATTCAAAAAGGGCAAAGTTTATAGAGAGCCTCTGGCTCTAACCAAACAAATTTCAGCCTACATCAAAATTTTCACTACAAGAGGTATTTTGATGCTTAAATATTCAAATAGATCATGTATATACATGAAAAAAAATAAATAAATTTCGAATTTTGAAAATAGGGTATTTTATAACGTATGTTTTTACTGTCAATTTTCAAGTTTTCATAGATCTATCGATCTAGAATTGAATTATCCACCGATCGATCCTAAGCTACATTTGGCAATTCAAATAAATTTTTTAAAACAATGACTATGCTGATCAATGATGCTTTTGTAGAAATGAAAGTTCATAATTAAAAGATTCACCTTTGGCACAAAAAGCCATAATTAGAGGTGTATCATCAAAATTTTGACCCCAATCTTGCACATGGAAGTGATATACGTCACTTGTGCAATTTTACATAATACAACTTGAGGTATTCGTAACTTTTATAGTATTATTATATATAATCCCAACTCAGGTGTCATTGTATACAACACCAATGATTAGGTCGATCGACTCGAAATAGTTGTAGTATAGGGAAATTTTCAAAATATTTATGAGAATTGCACTAGTTACTATTTTACATATTTGCAATTATTTATAGGAAAATGTTTGTATAAGGTGTCAACCTTAAATTGTAGAAGTAAGAAGCACCTCAAAATTCATCGAAAAAGGTCGTTTCGTCATTAAAAAACCTTCCAACTGATCATTTCCACTCCAATATAAATGAATATAAAAGAAAAATTAAATTTCAAGTATTTCCATTATTAAGATATTTAAGTGTTCCTAGATTTGTTGGATCTGCCCTATTTTTTGAGCTTTTAATTTTATAATAAGGGTGAAAATACATTTTAGAGAGATCATAAGAGTTTTAGCGTCTAAAATACATCTTATAATGAGATTATGAGGTGCACCTTACCGTGATTATTTAACGTTGACACCTTATACAAACCTCACCCTTACTTCAAATCATGACCGTGTATGTTTTCATGGGTATTTTGAAATTAAATCAAACAATATATGACGAGTGACAAATAGTTTATCTTTTATAGGTACTTCGACAAATTTCCCTTCGTATAGAAGAAATGATCACCCAGCAGCATAATTTTACATTGAACAAACTTATGGTGTTTGTGACTTTCATGCAAAAAAAATAAGAATCTTATTATGCACAATGATTATGTCGATGAACTCCATCTTATTGCATTCTTAACAGCACGTAAACTCCAAAAGAATTTTAGTCAGACTTGCTTTTTCAGCACTCTATTAATAAAAGTTTTTAACCTTGTCAAGAAAAAAAATTTACTCAGAATTTGTGTAGAGAAATGACACTACCCAACAGAGCAATTTCACATTAAACAACTTGGGGTGTTTGTGACTTCGATGAAAAAAACAACAATCGCATTGTGCACAAATCCCTTAGTGTAAAGACATTTGTAAATGTTTTCAAAGGTTTTGTGTGTGAGTGGGGTCTCACACATACATCTTCAAGTTTTTTTTGGCTTTATGCATGATTGGGGTCTCACAAGGGGCATCCTCTGTTGAAGAGGGGGCCCAAGCAATGGAGAAATTATTGCAGCAACCCCCAACCAAAAAAATTAATGGGGTGGATAATTTATGCATGATTGGGTAAGGGGCATCCTTTGTTGAAGGGGCATCATTAAAGCCTAATCCTAGTTATTGTTATGCTAGATAATGAAAGGATTTTATGATAAAACACGGTGTATATATATTTAAAAAATTCTTTACTCTTAAACCGATAATATCACTTACTATGTCCAATTATAATCAAACCACTCTTGACATAAACAAAATAAAAATAAAATCGGTTCTCAATTGCTACCTCTTCAAATATAATTATTTATTCAATAAATAAAACTATAATTTATTGCTTTATATGAAGAGAAGTAAATATTTAAAAAAGTAAAATTGCCGGATATTACAGCTTAGTACACCCCACGCCGAGTCTCTTCTGTCCGATGGTGCTCCAGATTTATAATCGATATGTTGATTTTCCTATTATGACAAAAATCCACTCAATGACTTAATCTTCATCAAGCCTCTTAGCTTGATTTTACAGAAATGAGATATTCAATTTTAAAGAAATGAGATATGAATATGAAGAGAGAGGGAGATAACTTAATCTTCATCAAGCCTCTTAGCTTGATTTTAAAGAGATGAGAGATGAATATGAAGATAGAGGGAGAGATCTTCTAGCAAGGCGTTCCACCCCTTTGTCACCCACAAAGAATATAAGTGGTAGGGTGAGAGATTTGAGTCATCCATCTCTTAATCCACCACCAATATTCAAAGAGATGAGCTAGAGCCTTATCCTCGCTTTTTTAAATCTATTCCCATTAAATAATGAAAGCTTATATTTTAATATATCAAATCCTTCTTTATTTGATCAAACAATCTTGATTCAAATAACTAATAAATATCTAAAATATTCAACCATACCATATAAGTTGGTCATACCAAAAAAACATAAGCCAACCAAGAGGATAAACATTCTTCCTAAGAATGTTACGTGAATAGGGGGAGGCGTGCCACCCTTTTGGTGGCCAAGTGTGGGTCTACCTAATCCACATCCCTTTAAATTTTGGGCCTCATATTTTATGGAAGTCCCAAATATTTTCGAAAATATTTTATTTCATATTTAATTTTTTTTAAGTATTTTATTTCATATTTAATTTTTTAAAAAAATCTTATATTTTATTCAAAACATTAAAAAATTAATTTATCTTAATTTATAAATTCAAATGATAAAAATAAAATATCGACAGATTCACAAAAATTCAAATAAACATTCTAAAAATCACATAACATAAAATTAATTAAAATTAATTAATTTTGATGGGAATCAGATCCGTTAGATCTAAGAAATTATCAATATATGGGAGCACTCCACCTTCAACTGCGAATCACGATCCACCTAGCTTTCTTAAACACTAACTGCAGCTACTGGAATATTTAGTTTTATACGCTTCGAGTTATTATGAAATCGTGATTCCCTTTTACATGTATATCGCCGTCGTGTTGTCGCAGAGAATCATCACTGCCTCAAAGCACATAGGTTCAAAGTGAAGTCGATTAAGAAATTTCTTAATCCATACAGCCTCCTTGGCCGCCAAATAGCACGCCACGTATTCTGCCTCTAGGATGGACAATGTCACCGCATCGTGTTTCCTTGATTTCGAAGAAGCTCTTCTCCCTCCAAGCATGAACACGTATCTAGATGTAGACTTTACATCATCTGAATTATTGTTGTAGTTTGCATTTGTATATTTGAATATCCAAGCCGCTAAAAAAAATCGTGGGACTGTAGTAGCTCCCACTCAATTATTGCACATATAATATATACATTCTCAACATTCTTATGTCTATATCATGAGGTAGCATAGCAAGTCTCATGCAATAAGTAATTCAATGCCCATTGGTTTCACAATATGTAAAACTTTTATAAACCACAAAGGTTCAACCACACTAGTCATCTTGGTAGTAAATCCATACAAACCAAGTTATCTAATCAATATCACATGTGTCAAGGAAGCCTAGCAATATAGGCTTCCTACAACATTACATATAGTTCAAGGCCTTAGGTAATCGATGATTCTAAATAACTACAAACATGAGTCAAGGCAGATGAGTATTTAACAAAAAACCCATGCATGACAGTCTTATCTCAATTTTATAAATATCTTGAAGGCATAATGGTTTTTTTCCTTTTAAAAAAAAATTGACTTGGTATATACAAGCAATGCTTATATAGTAGTATGACGGTATAAAATGATTTTTCATAAAGAATTAGTGGATCTAAAATGACTATAGGGTTTTTCTCAAAACATCAAATTTAATATTATAATATATGTTTAGTCTTTAAAATTTTTTTTACCTCATTCACCTACTAAGTCATGATTACAACTATCTAAACAAGCCATAAAGTCCATATTACAATTTTATCTAAAATAAAACATGACTAAATAATGGTTAAATCAAAATCTTGACAAATTTATTTTGTTTGGCAAATATAAAGACTTTATGAAGAGATCATCATCACATGCTACACATCATGTTACTGAACATTATCGGGAGGATAGTCACTAAGACCGAGTTTCATCATAACACTCTCTTCGTGCTTACATATTTGAATTAGCAATAACGTCTCTCATGTTTCATACTTAGGACTCAAACCCTTGATCAAATCACATCTCCAAGTGTATCACTACCTTGAGTAGTTTGTACTTTTAGCACAATGAGGCACCATAACACATGATATTCATAAACATGTTCTTTCAAATTTGTTAGCACATATCATTCAATGTCAATATATTTCATACATATTAATAAAACAACAAGCCAAAGTACAATCAAAGCACATAAAAAATAACTGAATCATCTTTCCCTATATGACCTTATCATGTAATGTGGGATATATTTAATACTTCAAAGTCATGTAGTGTGGTACCTAGGCTTTATTGATTCATTGCTTTTAGATGTTGAAAGAGCACATAATTGATGAATAATATATTGGTATTCGATTTCACATGTCACAATGTGTCCATCTCTTCGACACTTGGATTATCCCTTTCTCACACCGTGAAGAAAAATCTTCATCATCCCATTATTTCAAATATCACAAATTTGTTTCTCCAACTGATCTTTAACTTTTCTTTGCTACCTCAAAGCTTCTCTATGTATCTTTTCATTTTGAAGAAACCAAGGTACTGTTATAGGTATTATGTTTCTTCTTTTTTTTTTTGTTCCCAAATCAAACACTTTTCATATAGTGTGTCATACAATGCAAGCTCTATATTACATCTCTCTGAAGTTTATTATAATAAACCATATGGAAGGCACACTATAAAACCCCTTTTGAAATGAGCCCTAAAAAGGTTTCCATTACTGGGAATTATAAGATGTGCATTAACATGCCACATCTTTTAATTTACTGCAGAATATAACATCATTTCATGATAAAAATATGATATATTTCAATTCATAAAGAGTTTATCTCTAAATCATTTTGAGTACTGAAATAGA